GCATCACATAGCCAGGATCCTTGGCAAGGAGGGGGCTTCTTGGGGCCCTTTTCTCAGGAAGAAGGAGGCCAAGAGAGTCTTCCCAGGAGCTAAGAACTGAGCATCATCAGAAGCACCCTGAAGCGGACTGCAGCCATGGCCCCTTTAATCCAGAGTTCTCGGTCTCACAGGGACCTCCATGGACGGCCCCTAATTTCATCGCTCAGATCAGTCCCTCTGGGAACTGTGCCTTTGTGTAAGGAAACACTACTGGAAACAACGTGTGGGCTAATTGTGCAGCCCACAGATCCAGAAAGCAAAGCCATGGGGTGTGGAGTGGGTAATGGGCGTCCTCCATGGTGGCCCCACTCTCCCCGCAGAGGTTCGTGCATCCCCTATGTTTGTTTGCACATCACGGTAAAATCAGCACCGTTTCAGCATGCCTTCGGACCTAGCTAATTGTGGGTAGCTCTTATAGGAAGTATTTAGCAAAGTACTTTTGCTTTATGGTATTTATATTGTTTCTATCCTATGGGTTAATTGGCTTAATGTTTTGGGGTTAACTACCTAGAGTCCTTTTGGAGTGGGGCGGATTACAAATACTGTCAATTAAATAAATATAAATAAAATCAAATTGTTCAAGAGGCATGGTCAGAATACATTATGCACCTCCAGTAGCCTTGCATCTGTCTCTCATCTATTCTGTTTCCCAGGGTGGCAGCCATCATCAAGGAAGTTCTCTATGGGGGCCACCTCTCACTTGGGCTAAGTCTGAACCTGGGCCTACTGCACACCAGGCAGCCTTCTCCAGATCACGTGCAGTGGGATTTCCTCCAGTCTGGCTTTTCTTTCATTTTTAACCAAATACAGGCTTCAAGAGAGTATCTGTCTAGTAGTCCAAAACGTCAACTCCTGTAAAAATAAAAGAAATATACCCATTTCTCTTCCCCCACCGACCCACAAAAGAAACTTCCTACAGACTTCACTGTGGCTCTCCACCCAGCAATCATTCATGTTCCTAAGAATATGGGTCCCCATTTCTGACTATTCATGCGAAGCAACCCATGCTGTAAGATGGATCATGCCGGACACTATCCAGAAGAAAAAACACAGGTCTAATGCTCTTCCAGAAGGTCACTAAACCCATTCATATAAACAGCCTTCACAATTCCTTCCCGATAGAACAGGGTTCCTCAACCTTGGCAACTTGAAGATGTGTGGACTTCAACTCCCAGAATTCCCCAGCCAGCCACACATCTTCAAGTTGTCAAGGTTGAGGAACCCTGCTACAGAACACCAGTTCCCCCAGTCCCAAGATTCGGATGGCCCCAATCCCACTGGCATTTGGAAAGCTTTGAGGACTTGGCTATTCCCTCAGGCATTGGGCCGAGACGTTAGGTGAGCTCTGCTGCATGCGGTATGTTTGTGTTATGATTGTAGCTTTTATTTGGAATGTTGTGTGGTTTTTATTAATATTATTGATCATTGTAGTTAGTCATCCAGTGTTGCAGAAGCGAGATGAGAAGCCATATAAACGGAATAAATAAATAAATAAATAAATAGCCTGACTTTCAGCCTTTCTGAAGTGCCAGGCAGGCTTTATGTAAGGAGATGCCTCTGTGGGAGCCAGGTGTCCCGTCTCTGTAGCAACCCAACCCCAAATATTGGTGGAAGGCAATGCCCTAGGACCAGAGGGGAGGAGACATGCCCACAGCAGCCTAAAGTGGCCAATAGGAGTGGGGTAGAGCCCGGCTCCACCCACTTCATCACCAACATCTTCAGCAAGGTGGAAGTTATGGCCAGAGGAGTCTTCCCTGTGCTTTGGCAAGCCCCCCCGTTGTGGCCCCACCAAAGACTTTGCAACTGCAATGCATCCCAGCCTTTATCACCCCCTATTTGACACTTTGATTATTGCAACATACTCTCTGTAGGACTGCCTTTGAAAATGGCTCAGAAGCTAGTGAAAGTGGCAACCAGGACAGGAGCCGTTAAACGCATGTCCCTTAAGTGCTGGGTAGGGTGTCCGTTGGCTTCTGAGTCCAATTCAAGGTGCTGCTTTTACTTAAACTTGGCCTAGATGGCAGGTTTCCTTAGGGACTCTCTCCTCCAGGCACAATCTGCCTGGCCCAGGTGTTCAAGTGGGAGGCGGGGGGGGGGCTGAGCAATTCACCCCTGGCAGAATTCCAAGGGACCTGGACCCGAGGGAGCCCTTGCCCTGGGAGGTGTGACTGCCACCCTCCCGGCATCATTTGAACCGCCCTCGGTGAGGTGACCCTCCGTACGCCACCTTCTTAGGGAAGCTCTCTTTATACTTATTGTAAACCACCAGGAGTCATGCAGAGCATATACGCCGCTTGCAGAGAAGTAAATAAATAATATTTCTCCGAGACTCCTGCTGAGTCCCTGGCGGAGGTAAGAGTTGAGGCACATTGAGGCAGGAAAGAGTTAATCTAAGAAGCGGGTCTCCTGGACCTTCGTCAGGGGAGGAATAAGATTTTGGCCCAAGATGGCCAGTGAGAGTTTTGTTCAAAGGAGGCGCCTGCTTGTAAGCAAGCCCGGCAGCAGAAGCTGGGGCCGTTTTGGAGCTGGGGGGGCGGCTGGAGAGCAGGAGGAGGCCTGCCGCTGCAGGAATAACGGCAGGGCGGATTCACCACTTCAGGTTTCGATGGCCACGCGTCTCTTTCGGCTCCCTCTCGGTTAACAAGAAGGATCCTTTTCTGCTGGGCTTGTGGGGCGCAGAGTGCTCGGTATGGGCCCGCTGATCGCTCTGCATCCAGTTTGAGGGTTATGTTCTAGCAGTTTTTAATGATTACGGTTTTTTTATGAGCAGCGGGAGTTATTGGCATGCATTACCTCGATCAGTTAGACTGAGGCCGCATATAAATGCAGCCAATAAATAAATACTGATTTGCAGATGACCCAAAGTTCAGAGAGGTCTCTAAACATTGGAGGAGATTGGAGGAGGAAGAACAGACTGAAAATACCTAGATCAGCTAAGGCTGTGGGCTGAAATGACAGGGAGAATGTCAAGTTGCATTCATTTATTATAAAAAACTTATATGGCTGGCCATCTTAACCAGTGTAATCCTGGATGGCAAACGAAATGATAAAACCACAATAAACAAGCAAGAACCAAATAGAACAGCCTAATCAAGGCCCCTTTAAACATGTCTTTAACAAATGAAGCAAGCACACGTGTGCTGGCTCCACCAGCTTCCCAGCCCCGAGATCTGTGGGAAAATAAGGTCTTCAAGACCCTCCAGAAGGCCAGTGAGGTCAGGGGAAGTTGTCCCATAGGGCAGGGGCCATGAAGGAGAAGATCCACTTCCTGGGTCCCACTAGATGTCATTGTTTCACAGAGGGAACCCGGAGCATGCCCACCCTACCTACAGATCTGGTGGGATGGGCAGAAACCCCAAGTAACTGCCCCCTGCCTTGTGGGGCTTTAAAGGTGACATTTAAAGGCTTTAAAGGCTTCTGGATACAGTTCAAAGCACCAGGAGCCAGTGCAGCTCATATAGCAGTGATTTAACACGGGGTGTGCCCAAAACTGCACGTGCTGCCACATTGTGGACCAGCTGAAGCTTTCAAATGCTCTTAATGGACAGCCCTGGGTAGAGCATGGGGTTTCACATCTGGGTAGGAAAAATGGAAGCACAAATCTAGGTTGGGGGAGTCTCTGTCTTGGCAGTAGTCCATGTGAAAGAGATCTCAGTGTCCTGGTCTACCCAAAGGTAAACATGACCCAGCGATATGACATAGCTAGTCTAATGCTATCTTCAGGTGCATTAATAGGGCAGAGTTCAGACCATGGGAAGTAACTGTTTCTCTCTACTCCATGCTGGTCAGATCTCACTTGGAGTCCTGTATCAGTGCCCTTTTTGGACTGTGGTGCCCAGGACAGTGACTGATCAAGTTCAGAGCAGGGCCAGCAAGATAAACGAGGGTCTGGAAGCCAAGCCCTGTGAGGAGCAGCTAATGGATCTGGTACGTTTAGTCTACAGAGGAGATGACTGAGGGGTGATAGCAGTCTTCAGATATCTGATTGGTTCCTAGCTAAAAGAGGAAGTCTTCAGACTCAGAGTCCAAACTCAAAGCCACCAGGAGCTCCCAAATGTTGAGATCTCTAGGCTGCTCATGATGCGTGAACCTTTGAGAAAAGGAACAGGATCACATTTTAGAATGAGGAGAGGACACCTGGGAGGATGAAAGCTGAACAAATTATCAGGCTGAACCCCATCCTTTAAATTAGTTTGTTACTTCTCATAACCTAGCCTGTCTGAGTAAACTGAAACACTCACTCCACTCAGAATGACTGTGGATATTTTCCAAAATATATAATAGCACAAGAACCTCCTTATTCACCTCTATGACTGTATCAGACGTTCCTGTGGGAAGCATGTCAGCTGTCAAGATGTTCAATAACAGCAGCCTGAACCTGTTATCCTTTGTCCTGACTGGCATTCCTGGGATGGAGGAAAAGAATGCTTTGATGGCCTTTCCTCTGTTTGTGCTCTGTGTCTTCACGCTGCTTGGGAACAGCCTCATTCTCTTTGTCATCAAAACTGACCCAAGCCTTCATGAACCCATGTACATCTTCCTTTCCATCCTTGCCTGCTCAGATCTGGGCCTCTCCATGTCCACCTTTCCAACTATGCTGAGAGTTTACTGGTTTGACTCCAAGGAAATCACATTTCGTGCTTGTATTACCCAAATGTTCTTCATCCATGCATTTCAATGGCTGGAGTCTGGCATTCTGGTGGCAATGGCTTTTGACCGTGTTGTTGCAATCCGTGAGCCACTGAGATACAGAACACTCTTCCCAAACATAGCTGTTGCAAAAATAGGAATAGCTGCTGCAGTCAGATGTATCTGTGTCTGCTTCCCAACTCCCTTTCTGATTAAACGTCTACGCTTCTGCAGCTCCAGTATACTTTCTCACTCCTACTGTCTCCATCCTGATATAATGAAGCTAGCCTGTGTAGACATAAAGGTCAATATCTTGTATGGTTTGATTATCATCATTTTTACACTGGGATTCGATGTTGTCATCATTCTTGTGTCCTACATCATGATTCTGAAAACTGTTTTGGGCATTGCATCCCATCGAGAACGTCTCAAGGCTCTCAACACTTGTGTTTCCCACATTTGTGCCATCCTCATTTTTTATGTCCCAATGATCAGTGTCAGTTTGCTCCATCGATATGGGAAACACTTTTCCCCCCTTGTGCACATGCTGATGGCCAACATCTACATTATGGCCCCACCTTTCCTTAATCCCATTGTGTACAGCATGAAGACCCAGCAGATTCGGCAGAGAATATACAACATTTTCCTGAGGAAGCAAACCAGGATTTGATGGTAGAAAATTCTGAGGGTAATAAAAAAGGACTTGGATTGTACTGAAACTAAAAAGTTAAGGAAGAATAGAATGCAAAATAAAATGCTTCCATTCCTACAAAATAAAGCGCTTCCATATTACAGATGGAAATTCTCATCTGTCATAAACAACATTTCTTTCCTACATGATGACTGATGGTCAACCCACCTCACATCATTTGTGAGTGAATTACCATCAATCACGTCATCCTTCCAGATAGCTTCTCTGAACTGGGTGTGGGTGGAGGCGCCATTAGATGCTGGCTCACCTTTACTTGGAACACCAATTCCAGTGTACAACAATCTGTTCCTTTCTCCATGCTTGGACATCAACATCAGAGATAGGCAGGTGTCTTAGACAACTTTTCCCATGAACCTTTATAATTGGCAATGCTGGCTGGGGCTTGTAGGAATTATGGTGCACCTGGTTGCCTGTCAATGGGGGAGGTCACCTTGGAGTTTCAGCTGAGTACCATCATGTATGGAAATTACATGGAGTTCTGCTTCACCAGATATAAAGAAGAGGGAGCAGCACCCCAGATTAGGGCTTGAGCATGGAAATGATTTGGGTAAATATGAAGATGTGGACTCCCAGATCAAATAAGATGACAAACTAAGAATGGAGAAACAGCTGAGCTGGACTAAGTCAAAGATTCAGGTAATGCAACCTTTTGCTCCTGCCATGGCCCACCAGGTGTCTGTAAAGTGAAGATCACAAGGCAGCAACTGCACCTTTACACTGTGATTCTATAGATAATATAGAGATGCAGTGGAAGTCCTTCTCCATGAATTTGTTTCATGCCCTTTTGAACTTACCCACATTGGGGGCCATCATGACATCTTGACCTAGAAAATTCACATAGAGTTGCACCATGTAAATTTGTTGGAATCTCAAGCCATCCAGTTTCAACTTCTTCATCAAGGTGATTCCATGGGGTTCTCTTTGGGGGGCGAGGTGGGGAGAGTATGCCTAACTTTGTGTACATCTCTTAACATGTTTCTCCTTTCTTGCCTTTTATTTTATAAACTGAAGAATCCTAAGTTCACTGAGTGAGCAAACAGGAAGAGCAAACAAGGTGGAGGGAGTTCAAGTGGAATCCCAAATGGATTTTCTATACAAGGTGTAGAAATTAGAAATAATCCTAATAAATTGTCTTGATTCTATATAAGTACTTCAAATTATGTCATCTTTCTCAGGGTCCCTCCTTCTTTTTATTTTTCTAGTTATTTGCAAAGACATTAACCATGCTAGATTTCTTCCTTCCTTAAGCAACTTGTGTCTTTCATCTACCTCTTGTGTCCTGGTGTATCTTGTTGGCATATATGATCAGATCTTTCTTGCCATAATTAGCTTTGAAATAGAAAGCATTTGATGGTGACGCTAGTGCTGAAATTGTTGGATTTATCGTTGCTTTTAGGAAACCCCAAATTTTTGACAGATTTTCTCTTATAATATGTCCCCTCAGATTCTTGTCTTGTTTCTTTATACCATAAATATCGGTGAAGCCCATGCTCCTTTTATTGTTGTTGCTGTTGTTATTTTCTGCTACTAGGAAATTTTATCCATCCTGTTATCCATGACAGACAGCTTGCTCTGTAATATCATCTGAGATTGGGGAAAGCTGATCCACCACCCTCTTTTACGTCTTGCAATATTATGAATTTTACTCTTGGCTTTTTTGCATTTCATACAAATCTATTCATCGTTCTTTATCAATCCAGCAATTTTTATCTGGGATTTGAATTGGTACCCTTTGAAACAAGAAGTTTATCTTGGATAATACATTCATTTTTATTGGCGCCGTAAGTCCTAGCCAGGAACGTTTTAAGCTTTTCCTCCTTTTGGACTCCTCCAAGGTCTTGTTTTATTTCTTTCCATGGCTTGTTGTAATTGTTTTGAAATATGTCTTTGTTGCATCCTGTCAAGTGAAGTCACAAATCTCTCTCGGGATCTTTTCTTATCTCAAAGCCAGTCTCTTTTTTCACAAAATTTTCTTCCTGGGAGGTTAAGTGCCTGGCTATTACCTTCGTTTTCTTTCCATTGATTTGGTATCCAGAAAAGCAACCAGAACCGTGATTACTTTCATCAGCTGCCCTGTGGAGCTTATGCTCTGTGCAGGTTGACACGTTCCCAACAGTCACAGGCCAAAGACCTGAGGAATCCCTCCAGGCGGGCTTTTCCAAACATTTAACCAAATGCAACTTCCAAAACAAAAACTCTGCACTGTAGCCCAAAAATTCAACTCCAGCCAAAATAAAAGAAACGCACCCATTTCTCTTCCCCCCACCACCCTGCAAAAGTCTTCCCTGTGACTCCCACTGCGCAATCATCCACGTTTCCAAAGAATGTGGCACCCCCTCCACGTGGCCCATGCTGTAAGACGGCTCATGCCAGACCACATCTGGAGGTGACACTTGGTGGCACAGAGCTTCACTGCTGCTCACCATCCCTTCTGTCCTGACGACCAGCCTGATCTGCGCCGCCCCGACGGCCGAGCTCGTTTTCTCAGCGATGGAGCATGTGATTGGTACTGTCCCTTTTAGTGTTTTAATGCGGGACATTTTCAGGGGAGTGGTTGGTGGACTCCCTCACTGCAACCCGCTCCCACCCAGCATCACCCCTTCCCGGTGGGGAAGGAAGTTGTGCTGAAGCGGAGGCAGGATGCTCTCAGGCATCCCTTGAGCACAGAACAGGAGCCCTTTCCTGGCTGAGCAGGAGTGCTGCGGAACGGGCAAAAGTGGCCTGGATCCCACGGAAGACGATCAAGAGACAGAGAGCCCAAGGCAAGGCCACTCACGATGCCAGGGTAAGGTGGCATCAGAGCAGGTTTGGCGCCTTGCAAGAAATTATCTTGGCTGTCGTTCCCAATTGTTTTTTGTCTCCAGATGCCTTCAGCTCCCAGAGTTCCCAGCCATGGGCTGGCTGCCAATTCTGGGAGACGAAGCCCCCCGCACTGGGAACACACCATCAGGCAGGCTGGGGAAGGATGGGTGACAATTTTGCAGAGCAGAAAGTTTCTAGTTGCACACAGCCTCTCCCTTGAAGGGAAGACCTGGGTCTGTGATCTTCTGGGTGGCAGGAAAGAGAAGGGGGTGGAATGCTCCAAAGTGGGAGATGCGGGTGCCTGGGCCCCCCTCCCCTCAGGTAAAGTCCAAGAACCCGGGCGGGGCGTTTGTACTGTCAACGCCTCCTCTGGCCCTTCCTTCTCTAATGCAACATCACACCAACAGGCACACCGAGAGAGATGTTGTTATGGCTGAAGGCCAGCAACTTAATGTACCCTGCAAAAATGTAGACGTCCAAACAGATAGGGCTGAAGATAACAGTAGCAGAAGATAATGCATGGCAGCAGGGGAGGGAGCCAGCTCACTATTTTATGGCTGCCACACTCTGCGCGCCCTATAAATAATAGTAGGCTGTCTCCCGGAAAGTAAGAGGAGACAAGGAATTCGTCTGAGTAACATTGGGAGCTTCCCAAACAGGGCATCACGCTGTGCAGATCCTTATCACATTCACCATAAAGCCAGCAATGCCCAATTGTTCTGATCACCCAAAGCCACAGGACCACGATGCTCCTCACGAGGCCCGCGCCTCTCAGCAGAGCAGATGGGAGGATGTGAAAGGGGCAGGGAAAAGCCTCCAGGGTGGGTGGGCTGTCCAGGGTGGTATCTCATTCATCAGGTTGTGACAGGCTCTGATTCCCGCCCCAGGAGACAAGAGATTAGGCTTTGCTGTTCAACGCCTAGGATTTGCTGAAGCACCCCACAAGCCTCATCATGGTCCATGGATACCAGAAGCTCTGGGAGAGGCCAGTTTCATCGGTGGGAGATGCGCCAGTGATCCTAGGTATCAGAATCAGAAATGCTGGGCATATTCATGGGTCCAGGGCCCTTTTCGGAGAGAAGGAGGCTGGGTCCCCCTCCCCTTTGGCCACTGAAGACATGGCAGCAGCCTTCTTTCTGCAGCTTTCACACACAGGGCATAGCACACCCTGCACAGGGTTGGCATTACCCATTTTCTCCATCACCTCAACCCAGTGCCTACCAAATGTCTTTGACCCCAAATTCCATAATCTCAACCAGCATCATTCTTGTTCACACTGGCTGGAGATTATAAGAGCCGAGTCATGCGGTCACTTCTTGGCTTCCAGAGGAACTCTCGTTTGTCTCTAAAACCTAGAAGGCAGAGTTTTGGGGGGCTGAAGGTTGAACGGAGTCTTTGATGACAGAGGCCCCACGGCACAACCTACATCTGAGTTCATGTCATTTAAATTCAAATTAATCAACTATAAAATATAATTGATTATCAATGTTTCCCATGTGTTAAATCATTTCCCCCTGTCACCCCTTTAGAAGAACCAGTTTGAGGCAACCTGGGGGGAGTCAGAATGTTATAACCAAATCTTGGATGCTCTGAAGTCTCGGGTTGGGCCACAAATTGCTTTCTCTCAGTGACGTGTATACGTGTGCATAAAATGTGCAAATTGCCAAAATTTAGATTCCCTAGGCCAGTGTTTCTCAACCACGGCCACTTTAAGCTGTGTGGACCTCAACTCCCAGAATTCTGGCTGGGGAATTCTGGGAGTTGAAGTCCACGCAGCTTAAAGGGGCCATGGTTGAGAAACACTGGCCTAAGCTATAAAGCAGACCCAGCCCCCAAACAGGAGAACTACGATACAGCTGAGCCCTACACACTTCCATACCACCAATTTTCATCTGTTTATGGCCTAGAAAAAAAGCAGCGGGGAACAATCTGTTTAACACCCGCAGCCTCTCTGTGTCAAATGCATCATAGACAAGCGGCGTAACACAATGTGCTGGGGAAGGGGTTTCCTTCTGTTCTCAGCATTCGTGGCAACTCGAAGCAGCTTCCCAATCCGATCAGACAACCGCCACCTGCTCCTCCCGAAGAGAGATTTTCAAGGGTTCCAGACCAGTGCTTGGGAAAGCCTTTTTCGTAGCTAGCCCCGTGGGGCCAAA